GACAAAAGCTTTTGGGGGTTAATTGTGCCAGGAAGTGGATGCAGCCCTGATCTTGTTGTAGGAGCCAGCCGGCAGGAGTGGGAGCAGCAGTTGCTCAGCCCTGGCCACAAGCTGGAAAGCACTTGTCACCAAGAATAACCTTTGGAGTATTACATGGAAAAAATGGTTTTAATGACCGTTGTCATCAGTGTGCATGTGACAGCAGCAGCCAGCTTGTTAATAGCAAGCAGAGTGTGTGCCAGTGCTGCTTAGCGCCCAGCAGACAGGGCTCCCAACTCGCCTCTATTGCGGGAGGGGTTTAAGGATTTTACACCTCCTAGTATTTAAATGAGTTATTTAAAATACATAGCATGAGTAGATTTATCCATCCCCCAGCAGCCCTGCCCCACCTTCCCTTCACCCAGAGCTCTGTGCTTTGTCTGGCAGGATGCGCTGACAGGGATACACCAGTCCCCCAAACCCATGGGGCATCCCAGCAGGCAGCCAGAGGGTCACTCATGCTTGCACCCCCACTGCCAACATCAGAACCCCTCGTCCCCCTCTCCACACTGTGCTGGGATACTCATCCCTTCCCCACACTTGGCCTTGAGTGGTAAAATGAGCTTAGACATGGAGCCTGCGGGCATGATTTAAGGTTGATGAGCTCATCAGATGTTCCCGCTGCACCTCAATGTGAGCATTCACCAATGTCCCACACAACACCGCTGCTGTTGCCATGTGTTGCCACGTATGTGTCGAGTTGAGTGGGAGCTGTGGCTAAAGGAAAAACTGTGACCTACCTTCTACTCATTGCTGGGCATGCACTCAGGTATTGGCCCAGTTTGAAGAATGCAGTAAAAAAACATAACTTAGGTCTAGGAAGTACTTTGAAACTGGTATGGAATCTAGGTGCATTAAAGAAATAAGCCATTCAAAGAAAGAAGGGTTTTTTTAGGGTGTAAGATGTGACATTATAAAAGCCTTCCTGAAGCTATAAATACCTTACCGAGAAGATGTCTGCTGTCTAAGAAAATACACTTGCATTACAGAAACACTGGTCACATTTTGTGAGAAGAGTGTGTACAACTTGGGTGCATGGAAAAGAGGTAGTGGGGGAAAATCTCAAAAGCTTCAATGCTTTCCTGTTAGGGTGGTGAGGCACTGGAATAGGTTGTCCAGGGAGGTTGTGAATGCTTCATCCCTGGCAGTGTTCAAGGCTAGGTTGGACGAGGCCTTGGGTAATATGGTTTAGAGTGAGGTGTCCCTGCCCATTGCAGGGGGGTTGGAACTTGATGATCTTAAGGTCCTTTACAACACTAACTATTCTATGGTTCTATGATTCTATGATTTTTTTCCTTCTTGTTTCATTCACAAGGGCATGGAAAACAACTGGTACTAGCCTTGTCATAAGAGCATTTTGCATGTGGTAAAGGCCTTCAGGTTCTCCACTTTCTCCTCTTCCAGCTTCCAAGAAGTCATTTCCGCTGGATTGCTGCCTGTTGAATCTCACTTTGTGTTTGTGCACTCATGCCAGCTGCCTCACAGCAGGTCACTGCCTGCTTCTCTGCTGAAACTCACCCTGTTGGCTTGGACTATTTCTTCTATCAAGCATTCTGGTCCTACCCTTAGAGGTGCTCTCAGGGCCACCCCTCCACTTGGGTATTACCAGGAAATTTCATAGCAAAGCAATATTATAAAGCTGCTGATTGAAATACTGAATAGACCTGGACCTGGGCAGCCACTGCAAAGATTTCCCCAGCAAGCGCTCTGACTTCGACACTGAACTCAATGTACTGTGAGTCTAAATAGGTTGTGCTTCCTCAGCTCACTTATAAGGGTATCTTCTGGGACAGTGCCAGAAGACTTACCAAAGTCAAGATGTATCACATCTAGGGCTGACCCCTGTAGCCGTGAGGCTAGTTATCCTGTCAAAGAATAGAATCAAATCAGTTTGATGCGATTTGTCCCCAGCAAGACATGAACAAACCCATTCCAAGCTTTCTTTTTTTACAAGTTTATAGCTTTATGCAGGGGATTAGAGAATAACTGGTCAGCAGCTCGCTCTTTTAAGATTTTACTTGGGTATATTAGGACATCAGGTCTGTAATTCTCTAGGTTTTTCCTCCCTCTCTAGTTGGGTGATATTGCCTTAAGTCCCCTGGAAGCTCACATGTAGTCTACAATGCTCCAAAACCCATCCCATGTTTCATATTTTTCCTTTCTGTGCCTCAGGATGTCAAAGAGCTCTTAATCCCCTTTATTGGTCTCTACTTACACTCCCTTTGTTCCCCTTGCAGCAGGATAGTTTCTTACTGGGACTTTGCCCACAGCTCTTTCATCAGTTCTCTGATCTCTTTTATACTTTTATGACATCTCTTCACAGACCATGCCCACCAGTTTTCTGAATTCACTTGATATCAGCACTTTAGGCTAACTCTTTTTACAAAGGCCTCGTATTCACCAGCATTTTGAGGAGAAAAAGCTTGCAGCAGACATCTAAACCCCTGAAATAATCCTAACAGCTCAAGAGGTGCAAAAATTCACACTCACGATGGGCTGCAGCTGAACAGATCCAACTTCAGCCACTTTCATACAGCTTCATCTGTTACAACCTGCCAACTCATAGTGAGAACATCCAAGTCACCTCAGAAATAGCTCCATCTCTTCAAATACTACATCAACTCTTTTCTGACACGGTGAAGTCAGCAGGGATTACACTTCAGTGGTCCCTGCCAAAATCATGACTGAAGGAGATAGCAGTGGTGCTTTGTGCTATGCAAAGACTGAGCTGTACTGGATAACAGAGCATTCGCCATTCAAGCTCTACAGTTTTTAGTGCTTGAAGTACTGCCCTGAGATACTACAGAAGAAATCATTTCACTAAAGTGAGGCCTTTGTTCATGTAACAAAAACAATGAGTTAAGGATTTGTTTTGTAACAGGACCAAATTTGTTTAATTTAAGAAGGGGAATTCACCTGTACTTGACAACCAGATCTTGCACTGAGGAGCTGCTCTGAGCATCAAACTAGGGCCACCTAGTTGTGAGCTACCTGTAGGAGACGTGGGCCTGCTATTGCTGCTGGCACCTGAGAGCAGGCAAGGTGTGGAACATCAACCTCTGCAAGAGCCACACAGCATACATATTCTGGTCTTCAGATCCCCAGCCCAGTCCCAGTGTGCCAAAAGAATAAATAAAAAAGAAAATGAATTTATGTTCATTTATTTATTCGTTCATAAACCTATATCACCAACTTCCTGCAATGAACATTTATTCCACAAAATGAATGTGGAATAAATATTCATTGCAGAAGGCTGTGGATATAGGTTTGTGTGGATATAGGTTTGTGCTGTAACACAGCACAGAGCTGTGTTTTATGTTTTATGAGTTTTATGTTTTATGAATGAACACTAAACACCTCGTGGTGTACACAGGCAAGACACCTTTGAAAAACAAAACCCATTAAAATCAGTAAGCAGGCCCTCAGATACAGAATGGCAGAAAGCATCACTGCTTCCCAAAGCAGCCAGCCTCACTTTTTCTGGCAAACACTCCATACAAAATGCTTGCTGTTACATTCATAGTTCCTAAGGTGGTAGTTTTATAACCCGCTTTGCTTTCAAGGTGTTTTCCAAACTAAGGAGCACCACTTCTGCAGGTCCTGCTGTCCGGTATAGTATCAGCTTTTGGAAGGGTGTTAAGTTATTTTGCCTGTAAAGGCTTGTAAGGGCTGGCTGCTGAGAAGTCAGAAGGTTGTCATCCTGCATGTGGATGACAAGGGGAAGATGGTGGGGGAGGAGGAAAAGTCTTCTGGCAATATCACTGTTGGAAGCAGAAGCAGAAGCAAGCTCTCTGCAGTTCTTCTGACTTGCTTACAGAATGACTGCACCATCAGGGAAGGGTGAAGAGCTCTCAGAGTACCTTATGTTGACTCCAGAAAAAGGAAGCATGGCCAAAGAATCTTTCTTTTAGTTTTGGGTTTGGTTTTTGTTTGGTTTTTTTTTTTTTTATATTCTTTTCCTGTTTTTAACTAAGCCTTGCAGAACTCCAGAGGTGGCAACGACTACTTCTCCCTTAGCCCCAAAACTTGTTACCTTGGTAATACAAGGAGATGAGCTCAATTTGACAGTTTATTCCTGACAAATCCACATTGGCTATCACTCATCCCTGCATTTTCTGCTTTCATTGTTGAACTTGCATCTAAAGACAACAGTCTACTAAGGCCCCTTTCTGCCTATCTATAAACAACCCAGCCTGTGACTACTATACAAGCAAAAAACCTCCGTTTGGGACTGCAATTGTCTTCCCTATGATATGCAATAAATGAGTTGGCTCCTTATTAAAAGATTCACATGTGATCAAGTGAAATGACAGACAGCGATGAGAAAACTGGTCATATTTGCTTGATGGGAACAGTTCATGGCCTTTTCCATCATGGACCTGGTGCTGCAGCCTCTGATGAATATTACCTCTCCATAGCCTAGAAAAAAAAGCATGTTCTGCAATAGCAGCAGTTTCCCAGCATAGCTTGTTACTTGTTATCTGTGAGGATTAAAAGGTTTTGGACAACTGCTGTTTCAAGCTCCCATTTTGTGAGGCCTGACCTGCAAAAGTATGAAGGCTCCCCTGTGAAAGGGGATGAGATGTGACGTGTAGTGCCTGTCTTCAATCCCTGGTTTAGGGAGACTGTGCTATCAGACCACACTTTGCTGCGGGCACTACCTTCTGAGGTCAACTCTCTTCTCCTGCTGAAGCTTCACAGCCTTTTTAAGCAGCCTGGGCAGATTCAGGGAGCTGGCACCACACAGCAGTACTCTGGGTCATGTTTTAATTTATCCTGGAGCCTTACACACAGGAGCAAAACATCCAGTGAACTCAGATCCCAACCAAAGACTGACACATGACTCTGCAAGCAGGAAAGTCCCCTTCCCTCTTCTTTGGCATTGTGCAGGTCACAATATTACGTGGAATAGAGTTCTGGAAATCAGGATTCAACAAGAAACCACCACAAGACACTGGAGCAAAAGTTATCTATTTTATTACAAAACCAAAATCAAACAGATGCCTTTCAGTCTAACAAACAATGCCATAGGCAGAAATGTGCTGGGGCAGGGTAAGTCCAATATAAATTCAGGCCATGGAAAGCAGTGCCTTCACATGGATGAATCCCACCGTAATGCAGTTCCCTCCAACACACCATGTCCTTGAAGGATCAGCAAAAAAGGAAAGATTTTTGCTTCTGGCAGGAAGAACAGATGACTTGCACTGGAGCCCTGGTTCTCTTCTCTGTTCCAGCTGTTTTTCAGCTGTCATTCAAAGTAGAGCTGGAGAGGCCAAGGAGGACTTCGAGGATGAGGAGAGATATGCCCAAGGTCTGCTTCCAGGCACAAAGCTGACATTCCCCATGCCTCACCTTCAACAGAATGCTACTGATGCAAGGCAGAGAAGAATGCTTACCACTGATAGATAAGGACAGGTTTAGCCTGGCAGCCAAACATCTGGCAATAAAAGTAACAAAGGAAGTGGGGAGTGGAGGCACTGGTCTCTTCTGATGAGTACAGACTGTTTGCAAAGCTCACAGGGTAGGCTGCCTGAATCAGGAACAGTGCCATCTGCATGATCGTCCAAAAAAACAAACCCAGAACACATAACCTAACCTCTGTCTGGACATTACACAGTCATGGTGGTTGGGTCTTGCATGCCAAGGTACAAGTGCTCAGAAGCTGCTCAGAGGCCCGTGCAAACCCAGCAAGTCAGGATACAGACAGAGCCTTTGACTTGTTTGGTGAAGGTGAAGGGGAAAGCATTATAACGCTTGGACCTCAATCCATCCATAAAGTTGAGCATAGAAACATGAATCCACAGCAGTACCAAAGCTGGCATCAACAGCCATGCCTTGTTTGGCTTCCCTGAAGAACTGACACAATTTTAATTGCAAACTACATGTGAATACAGGCCTTTTGGAAGGGAAGGACACAAGGGTGAGATAAAGGAGGTGTGCAGAAGGATTTACGTGACAGGCAGGAGAGTTGGCTGTCGGATGGCTGGTTTACTGACATTTCCAGAAGAAAAGATGCAGTGACTTTTAGCAGCTCTGCAGTCCCTTGGCACTCTTGTGGAGCACTGCCCTGCCCCAGTGGCTGGCTGACAGAACTCCTATAGGCATCCAGTTGGCTGCTTTTGATGGATGCAACTATACATAAAGAAAAAACAAACAAAACAGAAAAACCCGCCAAACACCAACCCAGCAGCCACAGCTTTTAATTCTTCAAACTATCATATTAAAAAAGGAAAGGGTTTTGTATTGTTTGTTTTACAGTTGGATTCATTCTTTATTCCTACAATAGGATTAATGAGTGACACTGGTATTTCTAACTATACACTAAATCAAATCATTTCAACAAACAAAAGATGTGCCCTGGGCATTTAAAAGGAGAAGATGCAATCAAGAAGATGGGATCTTATAGGCCGAGAGAGCACATACATTGTATGTGAGAAACCATGAAGATCCAGCAGCAGGATCTGCTCTTTCTAAGAAGATAACTTCTTTATAGTCTGTTATCGTGGTATATTCTTCAGAGATTACCAGAGGTGTTTTGAACCATGCCAAATGCTTTAATTAGCTCAAATCTGCTTCCTAAATGAAGAGTTATCACTAAGTAGTTATTTACAGAAAGATTTTTTGTTTAGTTTTTCTGTTTTTTAAACTTCCTGTTTTGTCAACAAGGCATTAACTTACTGCATCAGGACACTCCCGCTGTGATAAATTTATCTCACGCTATCATCACGATATCATGCCAGAGTGAAGATGCTGTGGTACAACATCTTTTACCAAAGCAACAATGCCTCAAGGAACAAGCCCAGTCTCTCTACAGTAATGCAATGCTATTACAAGAAATTGTTGGTATGATCTCATATTAGCATGGCATGTCATCATCTCTGACTAGAGAGATGAGAGGCACAAGGATCACTAGGCCTGAAGTGGGAGGCTGCTCAGAACATTTCTTACGAACAGGCAAGTGCTGTCAGTGGTTAGAAATGCACAAAATAAAACACTGTGGCCCATCACACTCTGTCCGAACCTGGGATTGCCAATACAGGTGTCCCTGTCTCACTGCTGACTGTACAATTTTATCTGAGATTAAGTAAGAAACTACTCTGGAAAAACTGCTGGTAGTTGAAATAGATCCTGTGGCTTCCAAGAACACCAGGCTCCTCAATCCAAGTCTTCACTGTTTTTGTGACACTGCAGTGGGATAACTCGGGAGGCACTGGTAACAGTGCACAGGGTGAAGTGGACATTCTAAGCTAGGCAGGCACACCACTATGCAGGAGAGGAGCTTGGGATTCATAACCACCAAAGACAAGGATAGTCATTGCAGACAGGTCTTCACTAGTGAGCATAGCCCAAGCTGTAGTATTGAAACGTAAGTAAACCAGACTCTTGGAGACCAGCAGCATGATTGTGTCTTTCTGCACTGTCAGCAAAGCAACAGGCAAGCTAATGCTGCTTTTACCAGGCCTCTCATATTTTTATTGTTGTACAAGATATAGATGAATACTTTGCCAGAGAAGATGCAAGACTTCACTCTGCTGACTCTACTAGGCCTATGGCTCCTACTTCCTCCTACAGTGTTAGAACCCCAAGGCATGGTCCATCCTTGCTAAGCATGTCTTCTGAGCCTGGATAGTAATGCACTAGCAATTCACTTTTGCCCAACTTGCAACAGGTGCAGAAACTACTTTTGTATGTCCTTAATATAACCCCTTTTTATCCCTATGTTAAGCAGCACGCCAATACTTAGGTGAAATCTGTGCTGTCTCAAAAGCCCAACTGCTTCTGAGTTGCTTTACAGTAAGAAAAGAAGGGTTCAGCTGCTCCCAGGAAGCACTTAGTATCTGGGCACTCCATGCACATCTGCAACCACATGCCATGCTGACATACTTGCTCCGTTTTGCATGTGGGTGTTAAGGTTTGCAACTGAATGATGGTCTGGTGGAAGAAATGAATGCAGTACTGTAATCCATTATATGCAAAGTCTCCCTCTAACCCTAACAGCCTTCAAAAGCAAAGGAAGGAACAGAACAGTGACTCCAACCCCTGTACAAGACAACTGTACAATTTACATATATATTTATATACAGTATATAAAATTCTCTTTCTTTGAGTCCCAGTGAACTCAATTTTACGGCATCAGTAGCTGTTCCAATTTTAAAAACACACGATTCTGCTTCCCTCCACTCTCCAAAATATTAGATAATGGCATTGAAAAGCAACTAAAAACAAACCCAAACCAATTATTAAAAAGTGCAAACGTTCTGGGTGCCACTTCTGCTACGTTGGATGTTGCTGATGCTGCATGCTTGCTTGCAAGCAGCAAGGTGTCTGTCCGTCTATTGATGGATCTTTCTTTCCTTTGGGTCGGCTCCTGCCTTCCCTTCCTGTCTTCTGCTGCTACACCAGGCGACCTACTGAGAGGTGGGGTAGATAAGGAGGGGAAAAGAACAAAAAAGAAGCAGCGAAAGTGAGGAGAAAAAGACAAATTAAAACCAAAGGGGCACCTGACTGATAAAGACGCAGTACAGCTTCTGCTGCAGCTGTGACCTAGCAGGTGAGCCACCTCTCACTACCTCTTCCCACCTCTGCAACAGCACACAATGCAGTGCTCTCCCTGCTCCATAGTTCTTAGAGACCTGCCTGCACAGGGCACTCTGAAGCCTACCAAGCTACTGAATCTGTGCTGGAGATACAGAATGCTTGGAGCTGGGTGTCCCAGCGAATGGTGCAAGGGTGCTATTAATGTCCCAGTGAATGGTGCAAGGGTGCTGTTTGGCATTTTGGACAGATATGCACATGCCCTGGGTTCAGCAGTAGCAGTCGGTTTTTTCTCCTTCTTAGTACCTGGTGCAGTGCTGTGTTTTTGACTTTCGGCCTGGGAACAGTGCTGACAACACTGATGTTTTTAGCTACTGCTCAAATGTTTAGTCTGACCAAGGACTTTGTGAGCCTCATGCTCTGTTGTGGAGGAGGGGAAGCTGGGAGGAAGCAGAGACAGGACACCTGACCCAAACTGACCAAAGAGGTATTCCATACCACAGCACGTCATGCCTGGAATGTAATTGAGAGTTACCCGGAAGGGTTAACGTACTTCAGGGTGGGACGAGGTATCGGTTGGTGCTCGGTTGGGAGCAGGGCGGGGGTGAGTTATCAGTTGGCTGGTGCTGAGGTGTTGTATTCTCTTCCCTTGTTATTTCCTTTATCATTACTATTATTGGTGGTAGCAGCAGTGATTTGTGTTATACCTTAGTTACTAAACTGTTCTTATCTCAACTCATAGGAGTTGCATTCTTTTGATTCTCCTCCCCATCCCTCCGGGAGCAGGGGGAGGGCGGTGAGAGACTGTGTGACTGGCTTGCCAACAGGGCTTAAACCACGACAGCACATCCCCATGCTTATTTCTTCAGGAAGCTTTTGTTAAGCCCCTCATCAAAGGTTCTTAAAGAGTCAAAGCTCTTACAGGATCAGAGCAAGAGCTCTGTGGATTAATTACAGGTGAAAACATGTAGAAGAGAAGACAGAAGTATGGATTTGGTTCTTGGAAGGAGAAAGACAGGCCTCGCTGGGATCAGTGTTAATTGACATGCCCTGCCATGGGGGACAAATGCTGTCAAATGCAAAATTATTCCAGATTTTAAATTTAAAACAGCTCTGCAAAAGGCACTCACATTGCTCAATAACCAGCTCATAAAACCAGCAGATTGACTTCAATGTCTATACATGCAACATGGTATGTGAGTGGGGAGTAGGGATGACCTGTCCTAGACTAAGTGACTAAGAAACAGGCTGCAGCCATAGTACAGAATCATAGAATCAACTAGGTTGGAAAAGACCTTTAAGATGATTAGTTCCAACCATTACCCCAGGACTGCCAAGACCACCACTAAAGCATATCACTGAGGGCTCACCTATAAGGTTTCAGAACACTTCCAGGGATGGTGACTCCACCACTTTCCCTGGGAAGCCTGTTCCAATGCCTGACTACCCTTCTGGTGAAGAAATTTTCCCTAGTATTCAGTCTAAACCCCCCCTGCTGCAGCTGGAGGCTGTTACTTCTTGTCCTGTGCAATATTTGAATGCCTCCACTCAGCTTTTAGCAGCAGGCAAAAATGAAATACATGATCAGAACCAAGGACACACCAGGAAGCATCACTACATCGATGTATAAGGCTTAGCTGATCTTTATGTTCAGTTCTTGGTTCAGCCCACCTCATTAGGACCAGATAAGGTACCCAGAAACGTAAGGAGAATATCAAGAGGTATGGGAAGACCTCAACATGAAAAGGAGTCTAACTAGACATATGTTGGAGGCTATAGAACAGCATGTGGCAGGAGAAAGATAGGCAGGGGAGAACAGCTCACTATTTCTCACAGTCCAAAATGAAAAGCACCCAATGAAACCATAAGGCAGCAGGTCTAAAGGCAAAACAAATAAATAAAGCCTGATGAAGGGATGTGATTCACTGCCACAAAATACAGAGGAGACACCTTCACAGGGACAGGTAAGAGTCTTCATGGGAACTTGTCCATGGAGTAATATAAACAAAACTGTTACCTAAATCATTGCCTGCTAGAAGCAGTGAGAATAGGGAAAGAGAGTGCTGATCCAATAGCTGCAGCATCCTATTCTAATTCATTAGCAAAGTACGCTGGCTAAAGACACAGTGCTGGACTTTGAGGTGATGCAGCAGCTGTGTGTTAGTACATTCACACCTCTTGCGAACAATGTTGTCTTCCAGCTGTTTCTGTATTGCTCTTGGTGAACATAGGAGAGCAGGGGAGAATGAACTTTGGGACACATGGTTATCACAGAAAAAAAGGAAACATTTTGACAAGATACTCACTGAAAGGGTTAAGGCCTTGTCTTTTTCCACTGGGGAAACTGCTCAGGCTACCTGTAAAATCCAAGAACCACATTAAAGGCAATAAATGCCATGGCATGACAAAAGGAGCCACCCCACTGTCTGCTGCCAGAGGGCAGGCTCAAAGGAGCTCCTCTGAGCATGCACACAGCAAGTCCTACCAGCACTGCTCAAGATTCACATGCAAGCGTCAGACCAACGTGCTTGAGATGAGAGATGTTAAATACCTGGTGTTGTAGTAGTTGACCATCATGAAATCCAGAAGTTTGGTGTGGGCAAGAAGTAACAATTACAAGGTTAAACTAAACTGTGGAAGGAGGAAGAAGAAGAAAGGAAGAGTGCAAGCAGTGCCATGAAGTTTCTCAAAACAGTTTTTGCTAACAGCAAGCAAAATGTCATGTAGAATGGGGGAAGCCAGAAGAGAGTGAAGGTGCAGGCAATACAGGTAGCCTAAATTTACTAAATCTTTACCTTGGACCAAACAATCAAACAGGTGCCTAAAATCAAAGACCTGAACTCATACCTGGAAGAAGGGAAGGGGCAGTGCAGAGCTGTGACTGCATCATGAGACACCAGATGGAGCTCACAACAAGGACTCTCCACCTCAACAGTAAACCTGCTCCTACTATGTGCAGGGTACAGAGAGCATGTAGTAGACATCAGCTAGGGATTACAGAAGGTCTAGAAAGCATGTCACATTTCCTGCTAGCAGCTTGGTCTGATTTCAGATGAGGGGTTAGCTAGAAATGGGAGCTTCTGCTCCTGCTCCCTGCCAGAAGCAGTAAGCCTGTTGCCACTCTCTACTCCAACCCAGCCTATCTTTGATTCGTATGTGCATCTGACCTGATTGCACAGCTTTCTTTGCACATTAAATACTTTGCATGCGGGCAGTGAGAACACGCTTTGCTTTGTGCAAGAGCAAGATGAGCAGAAGCTCAGAGAGCAGGGATGGGACTGGGGAAGCCCTGGGGGACAGGAAGCTGGAGAGCATGATAGAAACATAACCACTGGGGAAGGAAAGAAAGGGGGAAAGAAAGGTGGCAGTGGCTGCATTTGAAGTGGGTTGCAAAGCATAACCTATTGGCTTTAGAGACTGTTAATAAAAGAAACCGTATAAACATGGTGAGTTATTTCAAGGTCCCCAAATGCCAATCTCAGATCGGCCATCTGCCCTGGTGAGAGAAGAACCATTGTTCACTTATTTCTGTACCTGTGTATAAAAAGCAGAGCTCTGCTGCCAAGAGGCAGATTCCTCTGGAGCTAACTGGCACTCTCCCAGGGAGCTGGCAATAAAACTCCAGGCAGTTATGAGCCATGGTACCCTCTGGCCAGGCTGTCCCAAGGGCTGGGGGCCAAGCACAGCCAGGTACACAAGAAGACATCCAAAAACCTACGGTTTGCACTCACCGCACCTAAGCCTACACTGTGTTGCTGTGAATGAGACCTATTTGTCTTCAGACAGAGGTGGGGAGCTCCAGTTAAGTTGATGCAAAAGGTAGGGAGCATCCTCAAAATGGCAGGGATACTCCAGGCTGGGCAGCTTCATAGGGCTCTGTGCTTTCCATGGCACCATACATCCATGCTGGGAAACTACCCTGAAGCTCATCACCTCTCGTTCCAAAGGCAGAGTATTGCCTTCAGCCAGCTGCCTTCAATAAAACACACACCAGGATGTATACTTACAGAAATCAAAACCCCTCAAAAACAACACTACACCAAGCATAACGCTGACATGAAAGACAGGAAGGAACATAACAGATAGTGACAGTTAGTTATTAACATATAGCTGGGAAGCCCTTGGATATTACAGAGTAACATCCCATCATTCAGAATGTTTTATAATGCAAAGTATTTGCTCAGCCTCACAAGTATGCTATTTTGGGTAACAATTCTAGCCATGCTGGATTAGGCCAGGTGTCTTTCAAAAGGAAGAGCCCCAAGGAAATCCTGGCAGCTTCTTCTAGGTAGAAACACTCAGACTTACCAAGTAAAGCTTTAACCTTTGATGGGGGAGGAACATGTTACCACAAGCCTTTCCTTGTGTTCTCAACACAGTAAGGATGTCCTGATTCATAATAACCATCAATAACTTCCCTCAAGATTAAGGGTGACAAACTATAGCCCCTCTACTGAGCTCCAAAGGGGGATATCTGAACAAAGCAAACAAAACCAGGTGCTGAATCAGTGGAGCTCGTTTACATTCTAATCTATTAGGTTAGATATTTTTTTTACAAATATGTATATACACACACATATATTAGATGCCCTATGAATTTCCTTTTTATTAACTCAGTTATTATCTGGTTACAGTTTTCTTATAGCCTCTTAGACTACTGTCAGCTTTCTACCATCATCAGTCCAGAGGCCTTTGCCAGGTGACTGCTCCTTGCTACCTGCTCCCACACAGCTGATAACACAGCCGTGATGTAGAGCATCCTCATTCCCAGAAGCCTCCCAAGCATGCAGAGAACCAGTTACTTCTCCAGATATCAGTAAGAAGGGTCCCAAACATCACTGAATTAAATCTGTTGGTTAGACTGTCCATTATTTTTCCTTCTTTCTGTAGTATTTGCTCAGCTCCAGTAGAAAGTGACATGCTGTTTAATTACACATACGCACACACTCTCTCTTTTTAATTAAGACATTTTTATCCTGTTTCTGGACTGTACTCTTGGTAGCCGGCTGTTGGCACAGAACGTGTCTGGGTTCCAGAAGTCCTCATGGCCTGTGAAGCGCGCCCAACACCTACCATCTGACAAGCTCTTGGATGGCAAAGCAATCACGGGATCTGAACTGGCAGAAGGAAACTTTCTGTCAGCTGGTGGAAGGACATTTCTTTGCAGTTTAATCCCTTAGCTCATCTTTGGGCAGGCACAAAATGCTGACTTTGTCTTCTGAATTTGGAAGAATATAGAGGCAAAACTCAGCTCCAGCATTTTGCAGCCAGCACAACCGGTATAAGCCTTGCTCTGATCTGCAGTCCTCCTCTCCAGGATCTCTGAACTCCAATTAATCTTGGGTCCAGTAACGTTCCAGCAAAGCTTTAAAACGCATGTCTACCTCTTCTCAAGGACCCTGCCTTTTGACTAACGCAGAGAGCTAAATTTGCTCTTAGATCACAGGTGGCTGTTCCCCCCTTAACTCAGGCTGTGTAGACTGCACTGATGAATACTAACTTTAAACAGGCTGTAAATCAGTCTATTTTCCTTCCACAATTCCTCAAACAGACAATTCTCGATCAAATGATGGCAAAGACTGTTTCAGGTGTGCTCCAAGCTACAAGCTCCCCACTCCTGTTCTTCCACAGTTTAAGAAACCATTGGCAGGCTTCTGCAAGTCCTCAAGTAGTTGGCTGTATGTGGCTACTTCATTCTGAGATCCAGGAATGGCATTTTTCCATCTGAGTTACCTCTGAGAGAAACACATCTGGTTTAAGCAGATGGGCAAGAGCTGTGCAAAATGGCCACCAGACCTAGCAGATTTCCCAGTAAGTTTCTGGGTCATCATAAGGATGGCAAAGAGGAAGGGTTACTGGCAGACTGGGTAACTATTTTCCTCATTGTAGAATCACTGGCTGGCATAATCATGTATTAGGTTACCACAGGCATCAGAGAACATGCTGAGAAGGGGAAGACAGACAGAACTATGCTTCTCAGACAGGTCTGATCCTAAGTTGGAAAGAGCTCAGATTCAGGTTGGTCCTTATGAATATTCCAACTGAATCCTTCCACATAAATCTTTCTTATTTAGACTATCTAGTGCTCAAGAGGCATATGACAGTGTTGATTTATCTATGCCCTGTGCTTCCTTCAAACAACACTATTTCTGCGTTTGGACAGAGCTGGCATAAAAAACCCCAAAACTAAAAACCAAACCAAAAAACCCAACACCAAGAACACAAAGAAGGCTTAGGGTTTATTGTCCTCAGCATCCCATGACCTATAAAATTTGTATTCTTTTCAAAATCGTTACAAGTGTTCAGTTTGCCTGGCAGAAGGCACACTCACCTGGAATGATAACTCATTTCATTTTAGTCCTTATGCTGCTGGATACCCAACCAGGATTTGGAACGTCTGAGGCAAGTTCATGTGAAATGTAGTATATCGAGGGAAAATGATGATTTTCCTTGTCTCCCTCCAACCCTTCCTCATCCAATCCAGACCAGAAAAAACTTTCCAACAAAGCTTTTGTTGAAATAGAAACCTTTCCATGAGAAGTTTTGGTTTCATCTGACTGGCAGTTTACAAGTGAAAGTATATCATCAAAAAGGTTTCCAACTAGCTCTTGGCTTGCACCCACAGCAACCTCAGCCCCAGCAGATGTTTGGAGGCCATGATACAGAAACAGATAGCAAATGCACGGAGTAGTTGACTGACTAAATACACCAATGATCAGGATAAGGGAAAGCTGGCGAAAGGATAAGCTACTGGTTATTTCTTAGTTTCTTGAGAATAGAAAGCAGAGGCAACATGTCATCTACCACCTCACAAATTCATGCCTTCTTAAAAACAGATCCATTTACAAACTTGCTTGCTCCACCTCTAAGAACCTCCCTCAGTTCTTTTCTGCATGTTAGTACCTGCTCCTTTCACTGCCTCCTCCACTGCTTTTTAGCCCTCAATATCCTTTAGCCCCCTTCAGTCCTCCTTCCACATAACTTGGCCATTTATCTTTGATCCTCAAGGCCCCTCAGGCCTTCAGTATGTATGTGGAGCTGTACCTAGTACAAGGTCAGAGCTCCTTTTTGCCCACAATCCTGTCCTCATGCAAGAGAATAAACCATAAAAGGTCAAGCTGTGTTCTCAACAAATAGTTGGGCAATCAGGCACTCACATTGTCTCACTTCTTTCCTTTCCCTTCACACAGACTCAAAGATTCACATTTTCATCCTTCTCACCCTTATTTTTTTTTTTACCTTCCATAAACTACACTTTGAACACGTGGTTGGCCAAGCCAGCAGATTCCAGAAAGCCTTGTTCCAGGCCAAATAGCAATAAAACTCATTTGGCATATTCATCTTATTGGGAAAGTAATAAAATTAAGGAACAGGGTTGCTATTTTGGTATGTCATTCCTCAGCAAGGTACCAATGACAAAGAAAAAAACTTCCACTGAGCTAGGGAAACTGAATGCTTCTCACAGCTGACAAGTAATGCAATAGGCATATTATGGTAACTAAGGTGCTTGCAAAGCACCTAGAAAAGGCAACTTCCCAACACCCAAATGCGCTGATTCCCTTTCCACTCATGTTAAACCTGAAGTGAGAAATAAGGTAAGGTTAAGCCTGGAGAAAGAAAGCTACCCACCCTTCCCAAATGGCACAACAGTTATGACAAGAGCTCTCCACCCAGCCAAAACACCTGCACAGGAAATTAGTCCTTTGGAATCTCCCTGTATGCCTTCTCCTGCCAAGCAAGTCTGTCTACAGTCAAGAATGACTGATGATTATTGAATTTGGGTTGAACAATTTAAATTCATAAAATTTCTAAAAATATCTATTTGGTCCAGGTCCCAACAGAAGATGAGGTGAAGAATAAAGAGGAAGAAAAGGAAGGAGGGTGGGTTGGCTGCTCAGGCACTAAACAGTAGGGAAAATATGTTATAAATATGCCCTATTTTATACCCCAAGTGTAATTTAACTGTGAAATAGGGCAACAGTATAGCTATGTGCTTGCTTTCTGAGTTGTTCCCTCTGCTTCATCCACCTTCCTGTGTGCTGGATTTAGCAACGAAAATGAGTATTATTTCTGCTAGTCAACAGGGTCTCTGGAGAAGGACTGGGTCTGTGCTGGCTCATACATCATTCAACCTACGTAGTTTGAGACAACAGAATATTGTTACCAGTGTATTACTCAGAAGGGACCTGATCTGAACTACAGTTTCCAAAGACTTCTTACAGTACAAGTAGGGTTCTGGCCAAGGCTCAGCTTTTTGCCCTGTTTCTGTCTAGAGGTTAGCACAAAGGTCTGTGGCAAGGGATGTAAGACAGAGTCATAACACAAATAACTAACTACAAGTACACGGCAGGGTATTAATTCCACTTATTTTCTCACACAAACTATGGCAATTTTGAATCACTTAGGAGAAAAACAGTTCCTGAGCTTGCTGTAACTCCAGGTCAGTCTTTTATGCACATGCAATGGGGAAGGAAAGGCACTCACCTCCTTCCTTGCTGACTCCTAAGCACCCTTTCAGTTCCTGAAGTGAGATTGACTTGTCCTTGTTGAGGTCACAGTAGTCAGTGAAACGTCGGGCACATTTCTTGGGCTTGGCTTTCTTCTTCACATAACGCTTAAAAGGCTTCAGCTCCCGCTTGTTGATGTCACTGCTGCTGTTGTTGTCCAGCTGACTGAAGTACCAGTGTACCACTCGCTCCTCCAGCGTGTGGCTGGGGTCTGGCTCGGAGAACCTGGAACAGAGGAAGCACAGGCCCCTGACAAGTGGGTGCTTTCACCAACACTGTCAACCACATGCTCAGGAGCCAGAGCTGCTCACAGAGTCAGACACACACTATGTTGTATTTAGAGCAGGCAAAGTATGTAGGTCCTACAATCTCCTCCTTTTAGCTAGGCTCTTTTGAGATTAACTTATTCTAAAAATGTCCTTCAGCATTGACAATTGGAGCCAAGAGATTCCTGGAGACGGATACCCTCAGTAGCTCTGGTTCTCATTAGCCTAGTTGCTGAAACTCTGCCTAATCCCAGAAGGATCCCCTTTAGAGGACAAGAGGCAATCTCCATGATCCTTTTGACCCTTGGGCTCCCATTCAAGTTACCAGCAGAACAGAAACTTCCATTTCTAAACTTCAGAAAGAGAACAAATTTATTTTATGCAAGCCACATTCAATATTTGAAAATGTCCTTGGCAAGATGCAACATTCTTGCTGTATCTATTTATACGATCTGAACTCCTGTGCTGTATTTTGAGCATATTTAATGCTTTTCACACTGTTGATTTATCACAAGAATTCCACAGCAGACAAGCACCACAAATCCTTTAAAAGCAATACTATGGAACTGGCAACTTCAGTTTGCTTCATTTCTTACTCGTCATGATATTACAAATTTGACATACTTGGCTCCCATTTTCTTACTCTACACAACAATAGATAGTATGAGAGAGGAGAAGGAGGAAAAGCAACAGCTGAAGATGCATGGATAGAGAATGTTGCCATTCAATGTCAAGCCATCACTGAACAGACACTGTTATGTCATACCATTTAAGTGGTGCCTGGTGCTCTGCAGCAGCAGTGGGAAAGGGGTTATCCCTCAGTGATACCAAGAACCAGTGAAGAAACTCTTTCTCAAGCAGAATTTTTTTAGAACTGCACTAAGCTATTGTGTCTGTTGTCCATGTGGTGAGCGTGCCAAGAGAGAACGCTGAAATGATGCTGAAATTAAACTGAGACTTGAGCCTGTCTCCTCCCAAGAATAAAGCATTTCAGTGCATTGGAATTAGTGGAGAGGCAGACATGCTACACTGGCACTGGGTGCTCTGACTTATTCCAGAAGACATCTCCATATGCTGCCTGAATTCCTTCCCCAGCTGGGAGAGAAGGACAGTTGCATGCTGCAGGCAGCCAGATTCTGGTGTGAGTCGGGGGCATTCTAGCTGATAGAGAAATAAGAACCCAAGTACCTTAAAAAAAAGCACTTTCACACTGTCACTGACTTTGTTTCAGAAACTGGTAGGATAGATATTTAAATGGTCACTGAAAATGTCTTTGTTCAGAACTGGAAGGGAGAAAACTCTTGTTGACGTTCCAGTATGACTAGTTTTGCCTTTAAAATGTAGCTATGGAGTCTGAAAAATAAAAGCCCCACCTTGCCACCATGGTAAACTAAATCACTAGTGAAGGGAGTCTGCAACACGAAAAAGCAAGCAAGCAAGCAAGCACTTGAGCTTAGGCGGAGAACAGAGATCCCCGTTAACCTTCTCATACAGCTTTTACAAATGAGGATGCAATTTAGAAAGGTAGCCCCTACCCAGAGACATCCGGGTCTTCACAACAAGTACACACACAGTAGGGAGAGGCAAATAAACTGCACAACATTTTCACCAAGATTTTATTTGAAGCTATCTCCATCATTTAATTCTTAGTTGAGAAGCAGCCTGGTAACTAGTCACAACATCTGGTCAATGCACAGTGGGAGAAACACTGAGGGAGGAAGAAGAGGTTAGGAATAAGTCTGGCTTAGTTTTGGAAGCCAAAATACAAGGCAAGCCCCTGGAGCCACCTATGGACAAGCAGAAATTGCAAAACCCATCCTCAGAAAGCTAAGGGAGTGCCCGGAATCTTTAGATCCTTGAAACTGTATGCAAAGACCATGATGACAGGAGAGAATAAAAACACATCCTGTGACTTGTTTTTATGACATTTATGAACACAGCCATTGGCTTCTCTCCCTTTTGGAAATGAGCTGGCTATTATTCAAAGACTAGCATGCTTCCAACAGCCACAGGGAAGTTCTGTATCGCAAGGGACAATATTCTGCTTTTGCTGAGACAGAGGAATAAATCCCGAGCATTTGCATGCAAGATTCACCTCATCCACACCTTGGTCTGTCCTTTGTTTCCTGAAGGCTGACAGGAACTGGAGAGGCAGAAATGGAGAATATAGCAGAGCATCTTAGAATCAACAGCAGAAAGACAACACACAGAAATACAAGCTTCTTAATACTTCCTGAAGAGACACCCAGAAGCAGGACTTAGAAGTGCCTCTTTTTCATGTACACACCAAAGAGGAGCTCTTATGAGATACCAAGAGAGGCAGTATAGCTCTCTTCAGCCCTTCCATAAAGAAAATCAGGGTAATCCACAGGCTAATACAAATACGTTGACTCATGAGGTGAGGATACATCAATCTTTGCCATTACAAACATGCTGAGAGCTCATGCTGAAAACTGCAACATCCTCATGGAGCTAAAGGGAATTAGTTTAACTGCTGTGATTGTAGGAGGAAGGAAGATGCAGCCATTTCTGTGTTTTTACCACTTCCTTTGGCTGGCTTAGCAGCACTGCAGTTCCTGAGTTGGTTGTCTGCCCTTTCTGATGATCATTCAGAATGCCAGCACAGGAAAGATACACATCATCTCAGTGCAGCCATGTCCCCTGGCTTGTGAAATTACATGATACAATAAAGAAGGCTGAAGTTACAACACCGTATCTGACTATCTTGACTTTGATGGCTGCCCACGCAATATGCTTTTGCACTGTACATGAAACATGAACTGATGCAATGTCACAGTAACATTAACTAGGTGCTAAGCCACCTAGCTTTGATGATGTGCCATGACAACAATCATACCTGCTAGCTCAGCTGAAATAAATCTAGGGGCTCTAATTGTCCTGCAAGCACAGACTTTGCAGGAGTATTCCCAGAGGAATTTCCCTCTATTACCTCTCCATCGCTGTTGCAAGAGAAATAAATCAGCCCTCAGATGCAACCTCATTTGTTGGGCTGCCTCTCTACTCATTCAGACCATAAAGAAATCAGAAAAACCAAGAAAGAACAAAACTGTACATTCTCAACTCCCAGCAAAACATCATCTCTTTCTCTAACACCAGTTACACAAAAATCCACTGAATTCCAGTCTCTCAATCCAGTGCTGTAGCAGCTTTGTAAGACCAAGTAAAGCCAAACATTACTAAAATGCAGACAGCCACTTTAGTCTTCTTGTGTTGATGACATTATAGCTGTACTTACTTCTCTTCCTGAGAATTCCTCTTTAGCACTCTATGGCAAAACAATCAATCCTAAAGAATGAGTGCTGAGCAATTGAAGAGCTCTGTGCAAATTGATTTTCCAAATCTAACCTGCTATTGCTGGATTGCTTCTGTACATAAGCCAGCAAATTTAGCTCTATTATGCAGCACAAGCCCACCCACAGTCCAACAATGAGGAGAAGCACGGGCTGTCATTAACAGCCTGACAGAGAAGCTACTCTCTCAGCTTTCTCAAATTTGCTGGCATCAAATATGTAGTCTTGTCTAAGTAGGCTTTTGCTCCTCCTCCTGTATAATATGCTATCAACTCCCTCATAGCAGAATACTTTTTCTTAGGTGGCTTGCTTGTAAATTTGCGGGTTAAAATACTGTTATTTCTAACATTACTATTTTCTAGTAGAAAAGTTTTCTATACTCCCACAGAACACTCTCTTACCATCTGCTATAACTCAGGTACAGGCAGAAAGCAAAGAGGCTATGAAAAAAACAAGGACATGCACTTTCACAGCTGCACTGAATTCCAGAGCAGAAGAAGAAGAATATGCCAAAATATCAAATAAACAGCTTGAATATGCACTTTGCATGCAGTCCGTAATGCTTTCCAGCCCAAGGGCCCTTTCAAGAAAGGAGGAGTTAACTTGGTGGGAAGGAGTATGGAAGAAGGGGAGGGATATAGGGTAAAGTATACAAGAGCAGCAAATGTCACACATCACTCACATACAGAACCATGTACAGCATGCAATCACATTATCCTCCACTCAACTGTGCTGTTGACGTGTAATTATGTCCCATCAAATTTTAGTAATTTTACTAAGCAAACTGAAGTCCATTCCTACCGAAGTCCATTCCTACTTGCAGCCCCACTGCGTTTGACTGCACAGGCTGCACAGACCCAGAGTACTGTTGCAGTGACAGAAAATCCTACTACAGAACACTGCTTTGACAGAAAGCAAGGTTGCAACCTCTGAAGTACCCAGCTGATGATCAGCTGTTTGAAGATCTTTAGAAAACCTATTATTTTGTAATACAGACTTTACGTAGCAGCAATAGCAGTGGAGACAGGAGGAGGAAAGACCAGCCTAACATTGCCTAACAGGATGGCTGAGACTATAAACCAGAGAGAGCTATTCCAGGATGGAAGAACACTGATGCACAAGAAGCTGCAAGAAGAAGTAACAGAGTAGAAAAAATATGTAAGCCCAGCTTCCACTGCTGACACAGGTGTGTTTGTGGTCAGGATGTATGCAGGAGTTAAGTAAGTTTCTACAACTTGAAAGTATTTTGCAAGGATGAATACCTTGCTTGGTGCTGTTGCTGAATGAAGAATGGATGAGAGCAAAGCTAAAGAAATGACAGGACTGACCCTATCAGTCAATGCCTATGATGGCATTGATTATTGTTGACCAAGGTGCCTGCACGGAGTGGTGGAAAATGACGAGTTTAACAAAATAAGGTAAAATTCAGAATTGTTCTTGGTCTGCTTCCACTTCTTATGCTCCTTTCCCTGTTCTTTGCGGTTGTCTAATGTTAAAGGCTGTAATGGTGGAGCATGGCTTGAATCAGAGGATTACTCTAATGGAACTGCGAAAGGATCCTGTATTTGTTTTATTATTCTTCCTTTCCTGTAGCCAAGGAATCAAGAAGCCAACAAAAACTGAGCTGCCTTCAGACTAAACAAAAGAGTACTACACAGTCCAAATTCATTACGGAGAATGCGTAATACCTCTATGGTTACAACTTAAGTTATCTTGCTATTACAGTCCCAGTTTCTTCCTCTCTTCCAGCTAAGTTGTGTCTGAAACATTATTCTGAATGCAACTTCTCTGAAGATTGTGGGATAAATCATTTAGGAGGTTTAAAAATCACCTCCCTTCACTCCTCATTGACTGTTCAAAGATCCTCCTCTTACATGAACTCTCCCATATCTTTAATTAGGCTAGAATTTCCATAGGAGCACAAAGAAAAGTTGATACCCAACTTCAACTGAAATGCAATAGGAGTTGGGCATTAATTTCCCTGCACTGTTCGAAAGTGTCAATCTTTATTAACATACAGCTTGGGTTCAGAACACCCTGGAGATGTGCTGAGATGTGCTTGCCTCCTTCAAACTTCTCAACTAGAGCATGAAAGGGAACCTCGGGGGCAATTTTCTGAAGTACTTTTCAGGGCTATTACATTGGGAATAATTGGCAACTTAAAATGAAGGGATGCAGCTGCTGTGTTACATGATAAGGGTGGTTGTTGTAAGCTGCCCTTTTAACCCTAAATTCCATAAGGCAGTAATATTTTTGCTGATAACATAGTAAGCCATAGTGCACACATTTTGGCAACTAAAATTCATTTTGAATTGGCAGGGGCCAAAGAGAGAACCTCAGATTAGGGAAACCCAGTCTGGGATCCCCTTTGGTCTTTGGTAGTTTAGGCTCCATATGAATATGCCTGAAACAGAAAACAGACTAAAATGTACCAAAGCAAAGTCTAAATTTTAAAAAGTGCCACTCTTACTATATAGGATTTATATATGAATGATTTCAGCTATGTGTTTTTCCAAAAAGGATACCAAACACTGCTTAATAAACCAATTTCCTACAAGCGCTCCCTTAATTACTTTGAAAACATACAGTAACATGATGTGCCTTGGAGTTATTACATAAACTTAAGAATGAATTTAGCAGAGATTTTCTGTTTCAAAAGTCTAAATGAAGTCTACTTGCCTATTTTGCTGTAATATAAACCAGGGCCACGAGGAAGGGAAGTTCTCATCTCATTTACATTATTGTAAAGCAAGAGTAACTCAATTAAAGTCAATAGCTTTGAACTTGCTTAAATGAGACAAGACCTATAAGGGATTACAAGGTTGCTTTAAGCATGCCCAATAAAAAAAACATCTTATCAGGTTTTACTTAGATGGCCTGCAGCAATCCAAGTTGTACAACCACACTTTGCTGCTACTAGCTTGTTTTTGTGTGTGCCAAGTATAAAGTGTGCAATTTAGCATAGCTCTGTGTAGTATTTTAAATGCAGATCTCTCTCATTTCTTCCCATGCTCCTCCCAAAAAGCTAATATGGATGTTAATTGCAAAGCCACAGACAGCTTTTCAGCATAAGTAAGTAGAGTTTTGAAGGCACTGAGCAAATGCAAGAAGTTTTCCCTCATATACCCAGATTCAGACTGAAGGCGGCAGGGTAATCTAATCTGATTTCCTGTATATCATGCACTCAGAATGTAAATCAGATTACTCTTTGGACCATAACTCGGGTTTGACCAAAGCAAGTCCTTCTGAAAGGCGTCAGGCCTAAGATGAAAGCCTTAGAGAGAAGGAATCTGTCACCTCCCTCATGACTTTATTCTGCCTTAGAATTGCCCTCACTTTAAAGAAATTTTGATGACAAGTTTGTTTATATTCAGCTAATCATGTTCTTCCCTGCTAGACTAAAGAGCTTGCAGAGCTTTTGTCCCTGTAGAGATACTCAGATTATAGAAAATAATCTTTCAACCTTTTCTTCCCTTTTTTTTTAATACTCTAAGGAAGGCTGAGTTAGGCTTTTTCAGTCCTTGACACTTCTGGAAAGGCTCTTCTCTGCATTTGGTCCTGTATTTTAATGTTGACTAAAGACACATATTTTATGCCAATATCATCTCTCTGCTGCCACAGAGAAACAGAAATACTCCCTCCCCTACCCTAAAATTCTTACTTGCTGCTTCTCTGACTGTTCAAAATACAACAACATGTGGGGCCAACTGACACTGAGGGATACCTTGCCATTTGCCAGGCCTGCCCCCTGCAACAGGCATAAGCTTTGCTGGTGATATATTAAAAATTTACCTTGGATCATTGGATGCATTTGTTCAAACTCTAAAAAAAGCCCAAGAGGATGAAATGCTGAACACTGTAAAGGAACAGAAAAAAGGAGGCTACAGAGGGAAGCAGTGTGTGTTTAAATACAGAACCTGTTTTGCCATCATTATGGCAAAGATGGAGAAGAGCCTGCAATAGATGAAGCTTGCCTTACAAATAAGAGAACTAACATTAAGACATTAAAACTGACATGACTGACATTAAGGAAAATCAGGTAGCCAGATCCCTAGTTTTATGTCTCAACATGACCTTCTCAGCAAACCTGGGCCAACGAGATACAGGATAAGCACTGTCATAAATGCAGTATTTTGTTAGTTGTTAAGGTTGGAAGCTAATTACCCCTATGATTAACTCTACAGCTAAAATATCCCTTTGTCTTGGAAAGAGCTTTCGTTTCCAGTGTCAAAGTCAAGTTAGATCACCCAGACAATTTCAGATATCCCTGAAGAGAGGATTCATGACGTTCCTCCCTTCTGGAAACTTGGAAAGTGGCACCCACAGGACAGAGACAGCCTCCTAACTCTGCAAACTCATATGAAATGAAAGCTGTACTGATTTAATTTCTGTCATTATCAAAAATCCCTTGAAATGCCTTTCTTTTTTTTTTCTTTTTTTTTTTCCCAAAATAAATGGTCCCATCAGGACATGGAGGGATGGAAAAGTTCGATGCAGATTCTTCGGGGTGTGCGTTTAGCCTAGCTGATGCCCAGAGAGGTTTATGCCAGAGCAGTTTCCTGAATTTCACTGTGGCTGTGGCAGGCAGAGTATTTGGGTGGTAGCAGTCTTTCGCCTTACAAAGGACAGCCTGCTAAAAGATTTCTCTTTCCCCTTGCAACTGGGCTGCTGACACTGGAGCTGAAAATAAATCAACATGACGACTGCGTGAAGAGCTGGGCAGTGAAGAATTCCACCAGAAAGGCCTCTATTGAAAGCTGAGAAATACACAAAGCTTGGGGAACTTTAGGAAGTAAGCCTGCTGGTTTATAGAAGTGCAGGGGGGGCATACATCTCTGGTCTCTACAATATTGGATTATACTAAGCTTTATTTTAAGAGTGATGATTACGTTGGCTGGGTTTCAGTCCCAGTGCCAAGGATGCCAAATAAATATCAAATACTCTCCAGGGCTTCCTGCCACCATACCCACTGTATTTGAACCATGCAAATTAGGCAGAATTGACATTGGAATGCTTATGGCTCAGAGAGAACGATGTATTTCCCATCCTTGGGGTATTTTTAATCCTGTTTATATGAATACAGACATGCTAGGCGTATACTGCGAATTCGATGGGTTACAGAATATTCAGCATGTCGGCACCCAGCCACTGACTTGATTTGTAAGGTCCAAATGAGAAGTTAAAACCATATGGGTTTGCAAGCAATCCATACTGAAACTAAGGGGCACAGAAGCACCACCCATGAAGTTTTTGTCTTGAATAGCAAAAGATGGTAGTGCTTCCTTCAATGTTCTGAAAGAGGAAAGGAGGGGGTCAACGTTATTCTCAATATGTTGGAGCAATACCCACAGAAGTAACATATGCACAGAGGCACTTACTTCATCTCTACACCCTTTTGAACATGAGCACACCAGTCATCGTGGCACCCCTGCGTGCTAAACTAGCACTGACTCCTCTTGTAAGTGGGGGAATCCAGAACCATAGAAGCCTTGCCTAGCTGAGGCAACATAGCGCTTCCTTTAAATCTAGTATGGTCTGTTCCCAATGGACTGTCCTGCTGCAGCGTTACAGCCGCTGCACTAAGGGGATTTGCTGTTATCAAGCAGAAGGGGGAGACAAGACCTCAACTTTTCCCCAGTTCCCCAGCAACACAGACTTCTGCCCACCTCTTCCAATGGGCCTGACTTGCTGGCTCCTACCAAGAGCGATAGACAGGCAGCTGGTCAGAGGGGAGGGCCATGAAAAACAGCTCCTCCCCTCATCGGCTGGCTGGCTCCAGCCCCACAGCAAAACCACAGCATTGGTACTGCCAAGAATTCAGTTCACATTCTTCACTCCCTGTGGTAGCTACTAGGCCACACGGTCTCCTTCAATCCATTTGCATTTTATTAGGTCTTTTCATGCACCAGGGGACAAAAGAACAAGCCACTTCCTCCCACTGAGCTCTCATTTCACACTTCAAATGGGCTATAGTAACCTTTATGGTGGAGCAGCTGCCAGGGATGGGGGGCAGGAGGAGGCAGACAGGGCTAGGATGACAAGACAGAGCAGTGTCTGAAGATGCAGCCTTAGCTCCTCTCCCAGCAACCCAGAGGAACCTGAATGAGAGCAGAGCAACACCCTTCCCTCCTGCTCCCACCTCAGGGGCACCCAGAGCTCTGCAGCCACCTTGGTGGCATTCAGACTGAGTGCTTTCTGGACTCACCTCCCACCCCCAGTAGGTGCTGCCGAGTTAATAGCCTGTACCATGTCCGTAGTCAGAGCATCAAGTAAGCTGGTAATAAATTCAACTTTCTTCCCTTCTGGGCAGCCTGCAGAAAGAAAAGAGAATGTTTAATGCAAGAATAGACAGGGTTGGTCTCTTACCCCAGTTCAGCCAGAACTGCCTTTGTTTGTAACATGGCAGGCACCATTACAGTCCCTGAGGAAAGGCAGAAGAATCCCTCAGTGGGTTTCTCTGTGTGGCAATTTGTCCTGCAGCTTTTGTCCAGGCACACACAGGGTCACCATCAACATCCGTCAGGAAGACCATGTGGTTAGCTTTATGGCCTCTCACAGTTCTCTAGCAGCGTAACCACGGGGATGTGCTGGAAGCACCTGGCAAATGGGAGCTCCCATGGTGACACCTGCAGAGTTTACAAAACAACTCATTACCTCCTGGGTCATCTTCCTCTGCAAACATGGCTGTTCTGAGGTCCTAACTGACAGCTTAATGCTTCCCACAGCACAGGCCAAAGCAAGGACTGCTGCTTGCACTCTCCTCTCCAGCCACAGACAGCATTGCCTGCCAGCAGCTACCACAATAACTCAGTTCTTAGCATGATCACACTGCATGGGAAACACGTCAGTCTAAATCAACACGTGGTAATCGCCCCCAGTCACTGCTGGCTTAAACAGGACAAAGTGAGCTGAAAGCGAGCTTGGTAACCATTTCCATTACTTACTGTTGAGGCTGTCTAATTCCCCATCATCATAACCACAGACTGACAGAGATTCCTACCCTTAACAGTGCCAGCCTGTTACGACATAGCTGAGATGAAATTCTCCATATCCTCACCTTTATGAGGCAATCTATGCTGTTCCCTTGCCTCTTAAAGGTGCAAAATCATGCTTCACTTACTACCACATTAATACTGCAGCAATTGCTCTAGCCTACCAAGGAACGACCATACTTAACTTCAAACCACCACCTCCAAAACTGTTTTCCAAAACGCACCACCTCCCATCCTATTGTCTTCTCTTGATGTGATAAACTGGCCATCACCACATCCCTCACCTCTTCTCTTTCCCCAAACCACCATGCACTATATTAGTCAGCTGATTAAGACAGCAGAGGTCTGGAAACAGCCTTCCCCAGCAACATATAGCAGTGTCAACACTTCTGCTTTTCATGGGCAAGCAGAGTAGCACGTGTACCCCAAACAGAACACCAGAAACTTACTGTAATCCCTTGACAGCTGAAAGCAGCTTGCAAATTGATCTGACAAAACTCCCTCCTTTGCAGCATTACAGGCTCTGTTCTTCGCAACAGCTAACCAACAGTCTCTCGCCTGTCTCCATATTATGCGCATTACACACACGCACACCCCTTAGCACTCGTTTGGCACATGGTCCAGAAAATGTCAGCATTGTAATGGGTAAGCTGCTATGGCAGCCAGAGTAGACCACTCACTTAAAGGAGCTTTTTGTTGCAGTAATGAGAAGGTTGAAAAACCATTTGCTAAAAGTCATCTCCCTGGGGCCTCAGCATCTCACCGTCTGCAGGAATTAGCAGCTTGCCATTTGCTTTGTGCAAGCAACACTTTCTTGTTTCTTTCTTTCTTCTGGCCACGGCCATGACACAGTTGTGAAGAGGGTATGTGTAGGTGTGCGAGGATCTGGACTTATGGCTCCCTCACCCTGGCCTCTGCAGGATCTCTTCACACAGGCCAAGCAGCACTGAGAGTCTGAAGAATAGGCGGATCTCTAGAAGCAGAATAAGGTATGGGGTCCCCTTACAGAACTGAGTGCAAATGGAATGGTGAGCCTTGAATTAAAGCAGGGTTTTTTTTTTTTTAAATTCAGTTCTGCTAAGAAGTAAGAGTGGAAGAAAATAATGAAAAGAAGCATCCTCTCTCACTCCCTGCAGTTCTGTCTCACCAGGGAATTTCTGCATACAAGAGCAGCTAATCAAACAAACCAAGTCTGCATCAAAAGATCATGTAGCACAGGACCTCTCAAGCAGACAAACCAGGATCAGATACTCCATCTTCTAATCTCTCCATCGACAAGGGAATTTCCAGTGACAGGAACCATCATGCCAGCCAATGCAGCCAAGCACAGAGCTAAAAGTTTACTCAGACACAGAAAAGTGGCTTGAGCTAGGAGAGGAATGCTCCTGGAGTTTAATGCTGGGACCAGGCCACTAGGCTACAGAGCATCATATGCCCTCTTCTGCAACTAGCAGTTTCTGTTCCCTGTCAAGCTGCAGTGCAGAAGGGGAGGGAGAAGGGAAACGAGACCATTCTGTCTTCCTGAGATCAGAAAGAGAATCTCAAAGAAAAAGCCCAAGAGCAAAGGATTTTCACAATACAGTTCTGGAGAGGCAGGGGGAAGTGCAGGAAGAGGCAGTAAAGCAAGGGGAGAAGGGATGCTGAAGAAAGGAAGTAAGGTTATTCTATTTTAGCATGATTGCCTAAGGAAATTAGTCTTAATGCAATCATTTAGCTGGTTTCCCCCCCCAGCCCCCAAAGTAATACTTGTACCACCTGGCCAGTTTCATTCAAATGTGAGAGGGAGACAGACAGGAAATTTCTACATGATTGGTGAAAATGAGAAGCTGAATAGAAAAGAGCCCTGCTGAGGGCAGAGTTGCTAAGCAGAAAGCTATAGTGCCTGAGGTCAGTAGCCGGCAGAAGAACTAGGAGACACAAGGCAAATCTGGAACAAATCTCATTTCCTTTGCTAACTTGTTCAGGAACAACTCACTTTATGCTAGCTCTAGAAAGGACCAGGAGAAAATGAAGTGGATCCAGAGCTACCAGCTCTTTCTGCAGAGTTCTTGGTCTCTATCACTCCTTAACAGTGGAGAGGGTCCCGCTGTACCTTCTGTTTCCAAGCAGCACCCAGGAGGGTGATGGCTGACCTGTCAGTGAGGGCACTCACTCTGCTCCTTAAAAGGGCAACAGGAAGGAAAAAACAGAGCATAGGTGGTAGGATAACATTTTCAAGAGCTGCACAGACACCTATACCCAGCACATTTCCTAGCAGTAACAGGGTAGGCAAATAGTAAATTATGGCTGGTCACTCTGTTAAGAGGGAAAAGCATGATATAAGACAAGCAGCAATGGGAGATAAAGCAGGTCCCAGGCAGAAAATGAGGGGTAAAGTTCAGCTAAGTGAGGAGCCAGTTAAGCGACCTCAGTGCAGCAGAAATGGTCCTGCAGTGTCAGAGAGCCAGTTGGTCCACTGGCTATTGCCAGCTGTGTCCTCTTTCATTGCTTAGGGAGCATCAAGCTGCTGAAAAGCCCTGCTAAATGAAAAGGAAACTGTCCAAGCCAGGCTTTGAAGAAGCTGTTTCAATGCTGAGCCCGTTCTTCCCCAGGAGACCTCCAGGCATCCAAGTTTCTTTCCTGAAAATTCTGATCCCAGGTATGTTTTCAAAGGGCAGACAGGCAACGAGCTGGCCCAAGGGACACTCCCAGCTTTTCCCAGTTCACTGCTGAAACTGGAGGTGATCCAAAATAACACAGAATAAAACCCATGGTAAAACATGCACGGTGAGGGAAATGCCTTAACTCCTCAACAATATTCTTGGCCTCTTAAGAGTCCCAAGGTGAGACAAGAGAAGAAGGCAAAGACGGGTTCTTGTTTCTGTCTGACCTGGAAGTTCTCTGTCCTTGAATGGATCATCAATCTCTGTGCTCTTCGATCTGGCATCGCTTTCACACACTGGGGTCTCGTAGCTGAAAAAGAAGAGGAGATGATAAAATATGTGATACAGCTTTAGTGCTATCAGATGGTTGCTAAGGGGTTGTGTCTCACCTGCTTACTGCAAGGGAAACTAATAAACCTGCAGAAGAAATATTCCAAAGCATCTGTCTGCTTATGGACAGTCAGCCACAGAAGTGGAGAGAGAAGGAAGAGCACTCTGAAGTTCAGCACCAGTTACCAACCCAAACCCAGAAACAGCACCCAAGACCCTGTGGGCACTGACTGAGCTTTTTCCAAGGCTGTTAATGCTCTGGAGAATCACTGTATTTCGCAGAGTTTAGGTCCCAGCTCCTACTGGCCTGTTTTCCTAACTCGCCAGACATAGGAAACGTAGTCTGTTTCCAAACCCAAGTGAGGAAAGATTCCCCAGGTAGTTTCAAGATACAGAGTAACTTAAAGAAAAATCTACCATTGGCTTAAAATCTATCAACGCACAGCCAAGCAGCCTTTTAAATCTCTGCTGGTCAGGATCCAAGTAGCTGCGGCATGGAAGGATAAAGCAGAGGACAATGCAACAAAGCCACTTATCTTTTCATTGCTCATGCCCCTGATCTGCGCTAGAGAAAAGCCCTGGTTCCTGCTACCACCCAAAACCTGCAAGCCAGACCAAAAAAAAAAGAAAAAAAGCAAAAAAAAAAGCTGCTTTGCGTGAATATTTAACACAGAGGAAAGTAACGACAGCAGTTACTGTTCACCAGCTCATACAGAGGGAGCTGCACAGGAACATTCAGTAGGGAATGTAACATATGGTACTCCTAGCTCTAAGGAAGGTAGCAGAGAGCTGACTATTCTAAAAGTAGGAATTTATCTGATATAGCAACAGTATTGTTCTTTATCCTGTCTTCTCCAGGCCGAACATCTCACCAGGTCTACATCTCTTACCGAGTGGAAGTACCAGGCAGGGGACGTCCCGTGTCCACCAGGACACACCAGCAGTACCCAGTCGATTGGTGGCACTGCACTGGTTTGTAGAGCCCACCAGGTGCGCACTCAGGGATGACGATACCCTCGCGGGGGTTCTGCCTGGCCTCCTCCAGGGCGCTCTGCCTTTCCTGGTCACAGGAGTGAACTTTCTCTAGAAGACAGGAGGGATGTTGGAGAAGGTGAAGAAAAAAAGTCAAATCAGGATCACCTTCCTCAGTTCAGCAAGACATGGGTATCCTTCACATCAGGAGAGCTTTGTGTCTGGTTCCTTTTCAGCAAACACCAGTATGCCTACATCCCTAGGGACTCACGGACTTCTGGATCAAGAACTTCCTCCTACATTTAGCTGTGACACAAGATTATTAGATTACACACATTGACTGCCAAGTCCCCAGCAAGCCAGGAACAGCAGGAAAAACTGTTCCTGTTCACGTGGGTTTTGAAGCAGGCCTGTCAGATAATAAGAATTCACTATTACTGCAGCCATGGGGTAAGCAGGGTAAGCATTTCCCAGATTGTATTTTCACATACTTGAGAGATCCTAAATTGCAACTTGTATTTTCCAGTTAAGTGAAGGAGACAAACACCCTTTGCTGCCCTACTGTCTCTTTTCCAAACTGCAATGTACTCTTCCCTCTCCATACCAACTCTCCAACTTGATTCCAAGAGGGACAGAAGGTTAAGCTTTAACACTGCCTTATCCGGTGCAGAGAGCACCTGCACACACCTCATCAAGGAACAGAATGGGATATCCCATTCTACCTGCACTGCCATCACCTCTCTAGCACACTCCCCCTTTATCCTCAACTGAAAAAACAGAGGGCACGCAACAATGCTTCCTACCAAAGGGTAGGTAGGGCAACGATCCTTAATAGTTTATGGCAAAGAAATGGTTATTTCCAAAGACATCATCAACCAGAGAGCAGAGCACACAGATGGCATGCACCAAAGAACAGAAAGAAGCCCTCAAGTGGCTTCTGCAGCCAGCCTGGCACCTTCAGCCCTAAGGCTACCTCTTCAGTTACCGCCTGCAGAGATGTGACTGATGCATGGAGAGGTGCCAGGCTGCTGCCTCTTACATAGACCAGCTATTAAAGGGGGAATCAATGCACAAAGTACCTACAGGACATAAAGACCTATTTGGTTCAACAGCCAGTTATTCTCAATCACAAGTCTTCAAACATTCTAAACCTTTGAGAGTAGTAAAATTATTTCAACTTTGGAAACCACTGAAGGTCTCACAGAAAGAAAAAAGGCATGCACGTAGGACAGAAAGCAGTTAAGGCAGTGATCACATGATTTAAAACATGTCTAAGTCTAAGGTGAAAAAATGGCAATATAGCTCCTAGCTTTTACCTGTAGGAGAGTGACACAAACCAGCAGCAGTTCTCTCTTTGCCTAGCTTTCCTCTCCCTCACAGTTTACTGTCTCTTTTCTTTTATTTTTATAAATAAGCCACAACATCTGAAATTCCTTGCCACAGGCAAGAATCCCCTCAAGCTTTCAGTATATAAAACGCTTCAACAGTGACAGGCAATGGCACCACAGGTTCATCCCAAACCTGTACATGTTTGCACAGCCAGCCAGCAGACATGGCATGACTTTAGCACTCTACCCCCGGGACTTGCTCAGCACACAGCTCTCGCACACTCCCTGTTTCAATGCATTTTTCCCGCCTGTCTGTACCTCATCAGTTGTGTCTATTATTTTGGTGAAAAATCCTGGTGCAGACAGCAACTTTTGTTCCATGGCTGGGTAACAGAAGAGGTGCTGATTCACAGCTAGAATTCCTCTGTTTGGTAGCAGCAGATACAACACAAAAATATCTAGGTCTGCACAGCATCACAGAATCATAGAATGGCTCGGGTTGGAAAGCACCTTAAGATCATCAAGTTCCAACCCCCCTGCCACAGGCAGGGATCCCTCATCACAGGGATCCCAATTTGCCCAAGGCTCTGTCCAACCTGGCCTCGAACACTGCCAGGGATGGAGCATTTATCACTTCTTTGGGTAATCTGTTCCAGTGCCTTATCACTCTCACAGTAAAGAACTTCTTCCTTGTATCTAACCTAAATGTTCCCTCTTTAAGTTTGAAGCCATGCTTTGGTACCAGAGGCACTTTTACTGGTTGCCAATTGAACTGTACTAGCTAAAGAGTCTCAAAGACCCCAGATGGTCTCCCTACCCTCAGAATTTCAGACCACTGTTGAGTCTGGGAATGCAAAGGGCACCTGAACTTTGCTACACACAAATCCACACAACCGAAACACAGAATAAAAACTTGTAAGTGTCGGCAAGTCTGACTCAAGCAGAGAGAAACTTGATCAGGAAGGAGCAGGAGGGGATAAAGTCAACAAAAACTGAGAGCGAGCTCAAGCCTCAGCTGATATTTAAGCTGACTTCACTTTGCTGACAGACAGATTTCACATCTGAAAAAAAGGCCCCGTGACTGTTCCCAAGCTGTACGTGGACAGAGAAGTCATTGAGCAAGAGGCCTGCAGGCTCCTTAACAAACCACTTACATCACAAGGGGCCCCTGCTTACCTACCAGCCGTCTGCCGGCAGCAGTTCACACCTTGGCCCTCAGGTGAGGAGGATGGTTCATGCAGCTTGGGGAAGGCAAGCACAGAGACACACTTCCCTATCATCGTTTCATGTAAGGAGTAAAAGGAAAGAAATCTGCTGAAGAGAACTACATTCCAGGAATTTTTCTACCTAAATCTCCAAAGCTTCCTGAGTGCACAAAGTCAAACCAAGATCTCTGAGTCTTGCAAAACTAGCACTAAAAATGACTGAAAAAAATAAAGTGGAGGTTTTTTGTATGTCAGAACAAAAAAAATGTGCCACTTTTATTGAAATAAAACCCCAAGGAATAAATGTCGTTTAATGAGATAGTATCTTATTTTACACACATTTGCAGTTAGGTATGCAAATTACACAGGATAATTGTACATGCTTACATCTGTACTATGCCATAAAAAATGGCAAAATACCTTTACATGTATTAACCAGAAATTTGTGGGAATTGAATAATCATGACATTTACCACCAGAATACACAACTAATTGGTAGTCATTCCTGTTTGAAGGGTGGTTAGAGGCCGAGTGAAACAAAACTTACAGGTTTTGTGCGGTTGATATCAAATATACTTAATGATGCAAAAGCCACCATCATCACCATCCTTCAGTGGGCTGTCATTAGCAATGATAGCAGGGAGATCGGATTTTTCTCATTTCTAACATACATTTAGAAGTAGCCACTGTGAAAGTCTTATCTATTCCATTACCTTCTGAAGAACGTGACACCGACATACTGGGGCAAACCAAAGGCCCAACTTGCCTATTCCACCTCCAGCCATGGCCAAAAGCAGAAGTTTAGAAAAGGACAGAGAAACAGGAGAAGTATATACTTCCCCCAAGTATTTCATGTCTCAATCAGTCATGCATCAGAAACTTGCAGAGGCAGACATGGAGTTTGTATTTAGTCAGTAGCAATGGTTTTCCCCTTCTACCAGTTTGCCATGTCTCCACTCATAAACTTATACTGAACATGACACCCTACATTTAGTTTTGTGGCTTGAATACATGTTGCATGTGGAACACAGCACATCCTTTGGTTTGATCTAAACTTGGCTCCCAGTAGTTCTATTTGCTGACTGTAGTTCTGGAGGATAAACAGTGAATGGTCTCCCTCCTTGTCTCTCACTGTTTTACAGACTCCTACTACATCTCTTTTACATGCTGAAGAGTCTCAGCTGACCAGTTCTTTCTCTGAACCCCTTCCAGATCCACCATACCTTCCCTCAGCTAGAGGAGATCAGAATAACAAACATATTGACACTTAAGTGGAGGCTCTGACAACAGCCTTTTGGAAAGTTCCTTCAGTGACATCTGTCTGCTATGCATAAGAACCTATTAACTAGCACTAGCCTTCAGAGAGGCTCTTTCCTCCAGGCTACCATTCTAACAGCACTTAATTCGTTTAAAAAATAAACATGAATATTAACCGTTGGAGTCTATTTCATCAGCCAGAAAAATCTCCTGGCAAATTCATACTCTCAGCTTACCTAGTATGGGACTTGGCATGAGCTGCATACACTGTCACCCTGAAAGATGGTCTCACAGGTAATGAAGGGACCATCAAATGCTATCCCAGCTCCAGGACACTGAAGCCAGCCTGTTCTAGTCAGACTGCTTACTGGAAACTTTGCCGTTGTTGCCAAGGCCAGGTTTACGGAGGATAGTGAAGGCCTATAGCCAAGTGAGAAGGTTTAATGCCAACTATGAATTTAAGCTGTCATCTTATAAAGAAGCATATATTTATTATATATGCAGAGTACTTTAAAGCATATTCCCTGTTTGAGTTAATAGGGGTTGCAGGCACAGACAGATAAAGAAAAAAGGTTTTCCTTCTTTCCCTAGTTGAAGCACTTACAGAACATTTAAGACAGCAAAGTCAGGGGGACACAAACAGCATCCCCAGGACCAACAATAATATCACACCTTTTTTTCAAAAAACCCCCACCAAAACTCAGAAACAAAAACCAAACACCACAGTAAAATTCCCCTGTTTTCTGTCATCTCTGCTTTGACTTAAGACAACCATCAGCAAAGAAGCTGAGTAACACTTGCCAACTCGCCGTTGCTGAAGAACGAAACCTTTGGGAGGCAGCAAATCTAAATCACTACACATCAAAAAAGAAATAAATATATATATATATAGGGAATGCATGCACACAAAGGAGAGAATCACTGGCAGAAATACCTGTTTTACCTTAACTGCTTAGCTCTGAAATGCTGTTTGCTCCTTATTACTCCTGACTGCTTCTAACACTCTTTAAAACATTTCTAAAAGTAGCGTCCCTGAAGCTATGAGCTATTGGAGAAAACCAGGGCTCAGACATGGGCAGTTGTACATTATTTATGCAACAATTTTCCCCTAGTAACGGCCTTCTGAGAAACACATGGTCAGATTCATAAAAAGGGTCTCTCATTCCCGGTCCCTTAAGTACACACATTCAAACATACATCTAGTGCTTGCACAATAAAAATAAAAATGATGGATGAGGTAAGGGACTCATCTGACTGTCTAATAAACTAGATGGTTATTAAAGAAATGGGGTGTTTGTTTACCTTACAGAGCTGAGAAGAG